TATTATACCTTTTCCAGAGTTCTCATTTTTTCTTTGACTAGGAGAATGCTACTTTGTGGGCTGGCAAAGTCCTCAGGAATTGTCTGAAAACAAGATCCCAGTAGCCTAAGGGCTCATCTAGCTCTGAACTTACAGAATTACTCTTTAATAATTAACATAAATAAAAAAGTAAATGAAAGAAAAAGGGAGTTGGAAGTATACATAGTATCAGTTAAACTAAAGAAAACATAGACAAAAAGATAGGGAGGTAGACTAAGGGCAAGGAAGTTTCCTGATGTTTTAAATAGAAGCTCTCTGTATTGCTAATGCTTCTACTCTCCACAAAAACCTCAAGAAATTTAGAGACCTGCTCAATTCTCAAACCACTGAATGTTACAAAGACTACTGTAATGATGCAACCTATGGACTCTATCGCCTGGTAAACACCAAACTCCCTTGGACTTGACAGAGGAGGAAGAAAGAGATGCTATTTATATAGTTATTACCAGTTTAATATATACTGAAATAACAATGAGCAAATACAGGTTAATATACACTCAACCATTCACTCTCAAATTACATAAACACTTTTTACTTGAGTAGATAGAAGGTATAATCTAGCTTTTGGAAATGCTTAGTGTTTAACGAAAAACACTTTTGCTTATATCATCTTGCTTAATACTATAACAATCCTGTGAGTTTTTTGTAGATGAGAGAAGTTAAGAAGACTTACTTATAAAAACCCAGAGAGAAAGCAAAAGCAAATGTATATTTCCAAAAGCTTAAATTCACTAACCCCTCAACACCTGCCACTCGGGGAGCATGCAGTATGTGCATTTGTCACCCACTTGAGGATGTCTCTAATTAAAACAAAATCATACAAAAACACCATACTGGGTCTTTGGGGCTATTAGGATGTTGAAAACTTGAACTTTTACATTTCCTGACTTGGCAAGACTAGGTGGTTGGGGGAACTGAGCTAAAATTTTATTTTAATGTTATCTCAAACCAGGTTTCTGCATTTTGAGTTCCTGGAAGATCAAAGAGGGAGATTCTTGAGGATTAAGGCCAAGACAAACAGCTGACCTTTTTGGGCAGTTTGTAGCAACTGACTGTCAAGTGACAGCAGTCAGTTTCAAAGGTCACATATCTCTTATTAAGCATACCAGCTATAATTCCCGTTGGTTTAGAGATTTGTAGGGTAAGATTTAGAATACAAAATTATCTTCAAAGTTGGAATAATATTTTAAATTGATATATAAGTTTAAAACAATATGCAATATGGTCTTCCAGAATTTATTTTTTTCACTGAATAGAGGAACTCTTAGGCATCAGAAATGCAAGGTGGCTAGACTAAAGAGCTACTATTTCTAATTGTTTAGGTTCCCCAGAGCAGGCTTTACAAGTGACAGACATAATTTCTCTGGTTTTTGTTTTATAGAACATTAAGAATATCTGTTTCCTGACCATCCACATTGGATAATAATACAGAAAGTGAAGGTTCATTATTACCTCCTAATACTTGGTGAATAATAAATCCAGTGTACTCTAAATGATTAGATCACAGAGAGTCTGTGATTCTGCCAAGCATTAACTTTAGGTTAATCTTTGATTATATCATGAAAACATTCTCACTGCTATCATTTGAGTGGGTCCCCTGCAAATTCATGTGTTGGAACCTTAATTACTTAGTATAGCAGTGTTGGAAGGTGGGGCCTGGTGGGAGATGTTCGGGTGATAGGGACAGCACCCTCAAGAATGGATTAATGCTTTTTTTTTTTTTCCATAGGAATGGGTTTTAGGTATCATAAAAGTCTGACCCTCTTTTTTCTTTTCTGAACATACTTGCTTGTCCTTCCTCCTTCTGCCATGTTATAAAAGCAACACAAGCCTTCACCAGCGATGGTGGCCCAATCTTGGATTTCCAGACTCCAGAACCATAAGCCAAAATAAACCTCTTTTCTGTATAAATTACCCAGTCTCAGATATTCTGTTATAACAATAGAAAACAGACCTAAGACTCTCATTAAAAAAATGCAATGCTTCCCAGTGGAACACTTAAAATAGGTAAAGCAAAATCAAGGTATTTGATAGGCTGTCTTTGAACAAACCATATACACTTCAAAGTTCCACACTGAACTTCACAATCTCCACATAACTTCAAAACAGTAATAACATTTAGAACTACGGATATTAGGGTGTCCAAAGCCTTCCCTATGCGTAAGCTCTGCAGTTACCAGTGGACTAACAGCAAAAGTTTCCCTAAAGAGCCATACAAGTTCCTATAAGCAAGAGTCTCAGTTGTAGGCTGTCCAGCTTTCCCCACTTTGATGAATTATGGTCTTGACTTCCGTTTGCAGCCAAAACAGAAGTTGTACTACTGTTGGACTTCACAAGAAACAACAATGTGAACATATTCTCTGCCCTTCAGCTCCAAATATTGTGCTTGAGCACCACATTGCCCCGAGCCTCTTGAACTAGGTAGATTCCAGTCACACTTTGATCCAGGTACAGGAAAAGGGTTAAGAGGAGAACCACCAGGCTTCACAGGACTGCTTTACATATTTGGGTTATAAAAGTGCTGATTTAACCTTATGAGTAGTCCTTAAAGCCCAGGGATGACCGTGTTTGAGCTAGTTTTGTTAGAATATTTGCACTGATCCATGAGACCCTGGAACTTAAAGAGGAAGCTGTTGTATCCTTTTGTCTCTTTTGTCCTTCCATATAAGCATATCTTCTGAGCAATGAATAGGCTTCCTGGGCACCAAAGCTTGTTATTTCAACAATCTTTTCTATAACTCTCAAGATACGTTAATACGCTTTAAGTAGAAACATACCCTTATTTTTTTAAAGTGCCTTGAGTTCATGGAGAATATATTTACATACATATGCTGATCTCAAATCTGAAAGGTAGGCATTTTTCCAATGGGAGAAACTGAGGTGTAGATGAGTTAAAATGACTGGCCTGAGATAAATGAAACTGGTTTTAGATCTTTGGACATCTGGGTCTGTTCTTACTTGTCTAAACTGCAGAACCTTCAATGCTTAAATACGATCATTGCCTGGGACCTTGAAGATAGCGCTCAGTACCTAACAAAGTTGATATCCTGGGGCAGCAGGACAGTTGGGCATCTGCCCTGACAACTGATTGACCCTGAATAGGTTATAATTTGATTTTGTAGAATCAAATTTCTTATCACCTATTGACAAGTTCAGCAGTATGGCAAAATCTTGGTTCAAGATAAGAGTAAAACAACCATTCTAAAAATAATCACCAAAACATGGGCAGAAGAATGCTGTGGGCTTCGGAGAAAGGCAGTGGCTCACTTCCTTCCGTACAGACCAGGCCCTTCCAACCACTTCTGTTTCTTGACACGACTAGTAACCAGGGAAGTTCTTTAACACTTCTCCTCCTTCTAGGCCCAGCCTACTACTTTGTTTTCCTAGTAAAATCCCTCCTCCACTATCTTCAATATTAAAGGTTCACTTTTCTGTGAGCATCAAGAGTCAGTGTGGAAACTTCCTACCTACTGAGTCCTTTCCTGGTTGAACTCTATGCCACCTGTTCACTGCCCTGCCACCTCACCCTTCCCCACGTCAACCTGTCTGACTCTAGCCCTATTTTTCTTCAAACAGGTAGATCTCACAAAATTCTTATATATTTTTTTGCTCTCCTATAGTGAAAACTCAAGGTGGAATGATGTTCCAGCCTCTGAAGATTTTCAGAAAGGCCAGTCACTTTGGACAGGTAACACAAGTACGTGTTCTATACTACTGATATGTAGGATGTGCATGCATTAGCACTCAGGAGCTAAGAGGGATGAATTCTAACAAGGTTGTGAACCCCTCAAACTCCCAAACATGACCAGAGCTTATAACTTTCCTTAAAATGCAACAGTATGTAATTCATTGTGCATTTGACCTCCAATGTCTGGCACTGGGCCAGTCTGAGAATCAGTGCCTGGGTTTTCTCTTAGCCATGCTTGCTTGGCATGGCTAAGAACTTCTGTACCCAGCCTGTCATCCTGCAAGGGAAACATCCATGCTTCAGGATACTATACTCTATTGCCTGCCAAGTCTTTTCTGGGGTCAGTTTTGTGCAGCCAAGGGTTAATGTTACAGCCATAACTGCTGTGGGTCTCTGGATCCCTACCCCTTCCCTGCCGAAGCCTGATAATATTACCACTCCTCACATGACTATTGTTATCTGGAAAGGGTCGCAATTGTGAATCTTTCTTTATAGGTACAAACAGGGTCAAAATGACATCAAAGATTTCCTCAGCTGTAAAGAAATAGAGGACTGGATTTTCCTAAATTGGAAAGATCTATTCACCCAACTTGGATGGGCTTTAGATGTAAGCTATTCCACATGGTGGCTACTATCCCATGTGGCTATTGAGCACTTGAAATGAAGATAGTTCAAGATGAGATGAACTGTTAATGTAAAAGAGCATATCAGAAGCTTGAGACCAAGTACAATAAAATAATACAAAAATATCTCATAAACTTTTTGTACTGAGAACATATTAAAATGCTCACATTTTGGATAGATTGAGTTAATTAAAATATATAATTAGAATTAATGTTGCCTATGTCTTTTTGCTTTTTAAAATATGGTTTCTGGGAAGTTTAAAATCACTCCTGTGGCTTGCATTTGTGTTCCAGTGGCTCACATTTGATTTCTATTGGACAGCTCTGCTCCAGGCAAAACTCCTAACTTTGAAAGTTTATTTTTTATTGGTGCATTACAATTACATATAATACCAGGGGTTTGCTTTTAGAGAAAAGACAAATGTACTGAAGATTTGGTTTCAGGTATCCTTTTTAAAAATTACACCCTTCTTGTGGACATCTCATCCATCAAACAGTCAGCTAGAACTCTGCAGGCTGGCTTATTACTTTTCTCTGGGACAAAGTTGTGTAGGGTCCCCTGGGCTCTCACTGTCCTTTACTTATTTGATTTTATAGCCCAGTATCCATTTTCAATATCTTCAGATAATACAGAAAAGTGAAAAACTTACAGGTTTTGAGATGGTGAATCTGCTGCTGGAATGCACAGGTATTTAACTCCCTGTAAAATGATAAAATATATATATATATAAATAAAAATGAAAATATTATAGTCAGTGTATAAAAATATTTGAATAAACTATAACTATTTACTCAGCCAAAAAAATTAAAAAAAAAATAAAGGAGAAGTTTTTCATTCATCTTTTGTTGCCAAGGAACTAGAGAAAAACTAATTAAAGTTCCTGGTTCTTTTCTGTGGTTTTGCCTATAAATATGGTCTAGTTTGCAAACAGCTTGTAGGTTTAGACAAAATTCAAAGGGTTTCAAAAAAGTAAAAACTGAGTACTTTTCAGTAAGTGTCAACAAGTTTCAAAATTATCATCTTACATACTAGTACACATATTCCACATTTCCTATATATGTCATTTAGGATCTTGAAAATCCAAAAAGGAAGCACTGTTAGTCAAAACTTTAGCACAATGGCTAAAAAGTGTAGTGTCATGTTATAGCTTTCTATGTTAATTTTAGTATCATGACAGCTACAATTTCGCCAATAAGAGTTTTAGATCCTTGAAATAATTTGCTTTATTTTGCTTGTTTTCCAGAACAGTAACTTTGGGTACCAAACTAACATTTTTCTTTAAAAATAATGGCCTATTTTGAAACAAACAAACTAACAGATAAAAAAAAAAATGAACTTCAACCCTATAAAATAAAAAAAGAGTTTATGTAAATTTGTACTATAAAAATCATGATAAATTTGAGGTTTATCAAAAGCCAGTCTCACCTCTCTGTCAGAGGGATTACTGATGTGACAGTTCAAGAGGTCTTTAATATCAAGTAAAAATATAAAATATAAAAATCTCAGTAATTTTTGCAGAAGAATATGTCTAAAGAATTAGATGAATCATTTTTAAACCCTCCTCTTGTAATTGCCTAATCTCATAGAATATTGTCATGCGTCTCAGAAAATAAGGGGAAAAACCAGAAATTAGAAAAATAACCAATAAAAGAGAATACACAAAGGACAGATATGTAGAATGGCGATATAGGCAACCCCAAGTTCCTCAGAAGATCAGTAATTTTTCATTGAACTCTCTTAACTCCTATCATTAGGAATTTATGTGCTGTATTTACTAATAATAGTCTTAGAAGGAACAATTTGATCCATACTTTGCTAGTTCCTTACAGTATGACTTTTCCAATACAGGGTGGGGAATTCCATTCCCTATCTCCCCTGATGCTTAGGATCAAGGCACACAATCAGTTTTCATTGATCTGACACACAGGAGATGGACTTGGAACTAGTGGGCTGCAGAGCTCATTGGGCTGCTGTGTGATAAGGTCTGGGATCCTTCTGGAACTTTAGTTTACAGCCTGTTTCTTCAGCTCTGCTGAGCATTCCTTAAGCTTTCAACCATTTCTTAATAAACTCCTTCCTGCTAAAACTGGCTCATATTGGAATCTGCCCTGAGAGATGGAACACTTCCTATCTCCCACAATTAGGAGAGGTGAGAAAATAACTTTTTCCCTGCATAGTTTCTACATATGTTTTTTTCAGCTTTGAAGAAACAAATAATTTAATCATGATTTGAAGATAAAAGCATTACCAATCATGTAGCCAATCATTATATATTCCAGTAAAGGCTTCCTGAGTTCTTGAAGAAGATGAATGTAACTGCTGCTTATCCAAATGGAAGCATTTTATCTGAGATAAAATGGGCTTTTAGCTTGCCAAAGGTCATACTTAATGATCAGTTGGCAGAAGAGGAAAGGGAAGCAGTACATTACCCCTCTTTGAGCTTTCGTTTGTCACACTCCACACCCAGCCTCCTTCTGTCGCTTCCTTATTTTTTCCTGGACTCTCTGGGGGCTGTGTTTTGCTGGGAATGTCTCACATTCTAAAGCCCCTCCAAACCCAGATAGGTATTATGCTGTGATGGAAGGGGCAAGACTATTAAAAAGGAAATGCTACTGAAAGAAAAAAAAAAAGTCATTTCACTCCTTACTTCCATAGAGGCCAAACAAGTGTGTTGGTCTAGATATATACTACGATTATTTTCTACAGCCACCATTGAAATGACTCACTGATTTTTTTTTTTAAGTGAGAGTTGGCAGTTGGATCCAATCCAGGAGCTTGTGAAATTCATTCCTCCCACACATTTCCTCCGACCTCCTTTCGGGCCATACTTCCAGAGGGACAAGAGGATTCTCAAGTGTCCACCTCCCCTGCTACTGCCATCTGCAGTCTCAGCAACTTCAACAGAGAAAGGGCTCCAACAGAATGCCCTGTAATAATGAAAATACCTGCCTGTCCCAAACGTCAACAAACAACCACCTCATTCAAGTAGAATCTACAATCAGTCCAGTTTTGTATTGGGAGGAAAGAAATAATGAAGGAAAGAAGAAAATGGACTGAGGTAGGTTAAATAGCTCTTGCCTATTAAGATCAGTTACTGTAAATGCCAACAGCAGGGTGAGGAGAAAGCACTGTGCTTCTTTTAGGCACATTCCCTTAGCTGCTGCCTGGTATACCAAAGGACAAGACATTGGCCCCACAAAGCAGGAGAGCCCTGTCAGGGGGAAGGAGAATCTGCCAATCAAAGGAAGATGACAAAAGGTATTATCCCTTGGGAGGCACAGAGGATGAGGAGGCAACTTTTGGCTGTGCTGGGCCCCTCACCTGCACAGCTGAGAAGAGCAAGTGACAGTTACAGCTTCCTATCTGTGCAACTCTGGAACAAAGTTTGGGGACCCGCTGCTGTTAAGGCAGGATGGAGAACATAAAACTAAAGATTGAGTTTTCTCAAAGACAGAATAACAAGAACAATAATAAACTTCCCTAGAATGATGCCTGCCACATAGGTGTTCACTAAAGGTCTGCTGAGTCCTGAGACCAAGGTGAAAATCAATTCCCACAAAGATCACACTATGTGAATAGTTCTAGGGAAGAAAATACTGTCAAATACCCATTCCTTAATCCCGGGATCACAGAAATGGAAAAGCTGGGTTTGGGGCCACACTAGGCAAGTAAAGGGCATGTTTTCTTTTCTTTTCTTTTTTGGTACTGGGGGTTGAACCTAGGGAGCTTAACCATAGCACCACATCCCCAACCCTTTTTATTTATATTTTTAATTTTGAGACAGGGTCTTGCTAAGTTGCTGAGGCTAGCCTTGAATCTGTGATCCTCCTGCCTCAGTCTCCCAAATGCTGAGATTATAGGTTTGCAATACTGTGCTTGGCCAAAAGCATGTTTTCTATACACACACCAGTGACACTAGCCCACCTCCTGTGTACTCCAACGGGGAGGTGAACCACTCACTGTGATCTACAATAAGTATGCAAATTCAGCCACAGAAGGAGTCAAACTGTCAAAAAGGTTCAGCTGCTTGCTGCCCAAGAACATCTATTTATCTTGGCTTAGTCATTAACAAAGCAACATCTCTTGAAGGCCACAGACTACAGAACTCGAGCTACCTAAAAAAGGCATCAGATGCCTGCACATGTGCACAATTAATGACTGTTAGTTACTAATTCAGAAAGCAGCACACGGACCCCAGGACCATAAAAAAGCTGGACTCATTTAAAATTACCCTGGTACTAATGAGTGCAGTTGCACAAAAGTTTTCATGTGATGTGGAACAGCTATTTTTTCTAATATGACTTATACAAAGGACTGCTCCCTGGTGGTGAAATTTGTAGAAAGACAATGAATAGGGGTAGGATATGTTTGGTTAAATCACAAAAATTATAGCAAACTCATGGGTTAAAAAAATGTATACAAACTTTAGAACAATCTGAAAACACTGGAATAAAAATAGCAATGTTTCCAGGGGCATAACATTTGCTGCACAGTATTCATTTCCTTACATTACCTCTAAATATTTTTAAAAAACATAAAAATGAAATTGGTTATCTTCTCCCTTGAAATTAAAATTGTAAATAAATAAAAACTCAGCACTTTCCATGAAGTTTCAAAAAAGTGAACTGGTAAAAGTCAACTAACATTAAATTTTATGGAACTATCAGATGTCTTTATGGCTTTTCAATGCACAAGGCTTGTTTTGTATTGCACTGAATACAAAAAACAAGTTCAGTTAATAGAAAGGGCCCTGTCAATGCTCTAAGACTGTCATGATTGCTGTGGTAGACAAAGAAAGAGCAGCTGCTAATTTCTTTGGACTACATGGCCTTTTGAGTGGCTTAACATTTCCAGAGAACTCCAGCAACACTGATGAGGAGGGCACTAGAGGGAGAAAAAGGGGGAACAATTTTAAAAAGTCGCTACCTACTTCAAGGTAACCTCATTTTGTACTGAATATTCATTATACCAAAACATCACATCAATCAGTATGAAAACACACAGGATAAAAAATTAGGAAAGCACTGAAAAGAAGTAAAAGGGTTAGGAGCTATTTGCCAAGGAAAGCTTTCTGGCGACATTTTTGTGTTTAGGGTTTTTAAAGACACGATAGACATCCCTGGGCTGAGAAGAAGTTCAAAAAGTATTCTAGAAGCTCTATGTGAACCAAAGATCAAAGCTGTCCAAGGCCACGTTCTTTAAAGCTTTAATATTTTTCAGTTTTCTGTTTCAATGATTATAGTAACCACCAAAAGTAAAGTTCTGGCCCTTTCTTTGGGTCTGAAACTAAAGACTACACTTAAAACGATACACGGGAACAAACTTGAAAAGCAGGGCTGAGATTCTGATTGCAATACTAGAAAAGAGATCAAACTCTCGCTTGTTTCAAGTACAATTTCTAAAATTCACTGTTTCTCTCTTTATGAAACATCGTAAGAGTCTTTTGAAGAATTCAGTTGACATTCTACTTTCAAAAAGAAAATCCAGCCCTCCCCCAGGACGGCTAATTAAAGCCAGCTATGGAGTAGATCTTTGTCCCATCATTTGTAGCAATGTGGATGGAACTGGCAGAAAGTATGCTGAATGAAGTAAGTCAGGGGCAAGAAAAGGCCTGCATGATCTTACACTTGGAAGCAAAGAGTAGAATAATAGTTCCCAGAGCCTGGGAAAGATGTTGGGGGAAGGGGTAATGGAGAAAG